TAGTATGAATTAGTTCACGCAAGTCACTCTCTTTAATCATGAAAAAACAGTTGATTTATATTTATTTTATCGCTAAACATGGTTTTAATTATAATTATAATAGTTTTAACAAATTTGGTCCACGATTCATATGTGCGATATTTTCATTTATGTAAGATTTTCAGTAGATCTAGTATACATAGGTCCCTCGATAAAGTGGGTTTTGGCCAACTCAGCCAAAATTTTTCAGCCCTTTTTTTCAATATTTAAAATCCCTTGATAAGTCAGTCAACCCTCTTTTTAGGATAAGAAATTGTTCTCGATAAGTCGGCCTCACGTGACATTTTCATTAAATAAAAGATCATCATTATTACGTATGATTTTTTTTTCTTAGAATTTTATATCATACGTTATATCTGATGATTTAGAAATTCTTGTCGCGATATTTTATTGTTTCATTTTTATCGCCTGATAATTTAGAAAGAATATTATTGTTTTATTGAACATAGATAAAAATCCTTTTATGGATAGATCGGCGTTACACGCATTTAATAGACATTTCAATGTAGAAGAATATTGTAAAATCGAAAAAGTACCACTTAGAAAAGTGGTGCTGCACAAACTATATAACACCACCTCAAAATTTGCACAAATGTTCTGTTATTTTTGTTCTTTCCTGAGCGGAATTGGATTTTTATTCATAATATCCAAATTTGTGATGATCCACATTTTAACTTTAACGTGTAACATAAAAAATAAAACTAATATATAGATAATTCAAGCAATAACATTTCTAACTATCATTTATCATTAATAAAATGAATAAAGGTGTAAGCCGAAAAAATTTTTGGTCCTTGTATAGTATATGGTAATCAAGATATATATTATATAAACTCTAGTAACTTCAACAGTTTGATGTGTTCTAAAAACCTCCAAAATATCAAGGGCATCAATTTGCGAGTTTACCTTGAATACAGACTGCAATGCAAAAGGCTTTTAACAAAACATAAATCAATGTGTCAATTTGCATGAATAACTTTTTCAAAATGACCACAAACCTTTTTATTTTGAAGTCTTTCTTGGGCACTTTCATAACTTTTATCAACTTTTAACTGCTTTCAGAACTTTGTAATAGTGTTAGATTGTTTCTTGAACAAATGAATGGAAAAAGAATAGTTATTTCATATTACATTATACTAATAGTTTTTTTAAAGAGTTTTTAGTACTTTTTTGTACGAGGAACGGCACCCCATTGCCAGGAATCCTTAGAAGGACGGCACTTCTATAGGATTGTCTGCAAGATACAGTGCGGATCATCTATACTCAAGAGTTAAAATTTTTTGAAATATTATGTGATCCACACATTGGATTTTAAAAAACCCACACCATTCAATTCAGCTTTAAAAGGAGAGTCTATTAATCTAAAAAAAAAATTTGTCTCAAATTTTCTTTTTCATAGTAATAGATTTTTTAAATTTGAAAGTTATGCTCAGAAGTTGCAACAATAATTTTCGTGTCACACTATTTTGAATCTCACGACCAAATTTGGTAATGATTTTCTTTTAATGTAATATGTTCGTTAAACTTTTTTGTTGTAAAGAACTTTTATTTATTAATAAAAAAAGGAAATAAATAAATCAAATAAATCAAATGTATGTTGTAGAAAATATTCTATGAAAAAAAAAGTTGTTACACGAAATTTACTTAGTCTCAATTTCTTAAGTGTATAACAAAATTCGGAATTTTCAAAATGCTAAGGCTCAGCCAATTTTCAATTTAAGAAAAAACCAGCCGATAAGTTTTGAAGCTTGAGTCATGAACAATAAAACTTATCGGTTAAATTTTTTTAAAATGATATAATTTTTTTTGTTTTAGTATTTTGAAGTTGACCAATTGCTACTATAAGCAATTAATGATTATAGATAATCTGCACCGTAGCATTTTGAAAATTCCAAATTTTGTTATACACTTAAGAAATTGAGACTAATAAATCCAACTTGTATAAAATAATTACTGTCAATAATAGATATTTTATTCCAAAGTCAAATGGTCTGCTATATAGAAAGTGAATTGGAACATTATTATTACTAGTAGTGTTATCACCGTTAAATCAACGAAGTTAGGCCCTTGTATGCTGCGGCCCCCTGATTGATCAAGAGTATGTCGTTGAGTTGACGGGTTGATTGTTAATAATAGGGTTCGTGTTTGCACCCCGTATTTTCAAAGCTTCTAGTTCCATTAACAATAATTCAAGTCTGACCAATATCTAGATTACTATATTATTCAGCATCATGACGCTACTATTATCATTATTATTGGTTGAGTTTGCGGTTGAATTTATAATTTATTTTAATATTATTTAACCCTAATCATGTAAAAAAACTAACGTGGAAAAAATTTTGCAACTTGAATATAAAATGATTTAAATTTTATTTACTTTCCTGGGATTAATTGCTTCGAACGCGTAAAAAAAAATTACACTGTAATTGTTCGTGAAATTTTCAAATATCAATTCATGTATCATAACATATATAACTTGCGTCATTCGATAGCTTAGGTTCTTACGAATAAATATATAAATATTTAAACAATTATTTGACTTGAATTTTCATCTTAACTGCAGCTAATACAGCTAGTATTTAAGTTTTTGAGGAACTTTATCCTCATCTTCTTTCAAGGCAGCTTTAAATTCTTTTAAATTATTCGCATGGACTGGAACTTGTTCTCCCGTAAATGTTCAATTGAGTTAAGGTCGGGTAATTGACTTCCAATATTGGATTTTTTTTGTTTACAATGCTTTAGATGTATTTTTATCTTTGTAAGTTTTTAAAATTTTGAAAAAGTGAAACAAAAACGTTGTTTCGCACAATATCAATATAATTTTTATTACGCAAAATCTGGAATTACAAAAGACATGTAATATTACGAATATAAAAAGTTTTGACTTGAATATTAATATGTGAAATTGAAATACGGTGGTGATCTCATTTTCACGCACAACAAATAGTAACATGCTATATATATATATATATTATGTACATTACCGAACTTTTGTATATTAATATCCATTTTAGAAAATAATACACATTTTAAATTTTTTGGGGATTAATCGAGCTGTCAATTCAGCAATTTTTTCATTTAAATTTTTAATTTTTTCTTGTGCTTTTCTTAAGTCTTTTTCCAAATGTTTTTTCTCTTCAGTCTTTTCATCCACTTTTTTTTTGAGAATTTCAACTTCTTTTTGTAATTTTTCTTTTTCAGTCATATAGTTCCCAATTTTATCATTTATTCCTACAAGATTTTTTGGAAAATAAATTTCATTGCAATCACTTAGATGATCTAATATTTTTTCTCGCGAATCTGCTCTAGACATTTCGGCTATATCTTTATAATAACCAACCAATTGTGGATTATCCACATGAATAACCTTTTTGCATTTTTGGACTATTTCGGAAAGATTGCCATCATCTTTAATCATATTCTTATAATCTTTTTTACACTTATCGCTATTGTTAAATTCAGGAAAACAGGTTCTTACAATAGTAGTATATTTAACCACGTCCTTATCAAAAATAACAGCCCTTAATAAATCATAAGCTTGGATTTCTGTTTCCGTGAAACGTCCATTTATAACAAATAAAATTTGACTCAATCCATATTTAATAGAATCAGCTGCCTCTGCTAAGTTAAATAAAACTTGCTGTTCTGTAAATTTTGTATCACCAATTCCAATAGTATCAACTATTCTATACGACGTTCCTTCAATTAATCTTTCTATAATTTGATAATTTCTAGTTTCACTAGTACAACCTGAACCTTCGTCAAAATCATCAGTCCCAGCTATCACATTGGCCAAAGCAGACTTCCCACCACCAGTCCTACCAATTAACATTATTGTCCTTATAGGCTTGGTATCATTCTTTTTCCTTGGGTGTTCTTGGTTTGTATCAAAAGGTGCAGAATCATTTTTTTGCTGTTTCGAGTCTATCATTTCTCAAGGTAATGATTTAATTTTAGATTATATACTCCAAAATCTATTTTCGAAAAGAAGGAAGAAATTTGAATTATAATTATATATATTGATTAAGGCCATTGATGCTAAATTAGTTTAGAATGATTACTCGGCTGTATCCATCATAATTATCTCATAATTACTTACTTGACAGATAGATAAGTCATAGTAACAATCGATAAAATTAATTATTATAATAGTCATTTAATTAACTAACTGTATTGCTTCAATGATAGTTCACTAAATCGTATCTGAGTAGATGTAACAAGCAGAATGTAACTAACGTAACTGCATCGGGAGAACAAATCATTAGTTTGTATTTAGGTATGATGATGTAGTGAGCTCATTTTTGAAAATTGGGAAAAGGGAATTTACAAAATTTACAAAAATCACCAAGGACAGGTTGCACTTACTCTATTCAAAGTTTCTACAATTAATAAAGTAGCATCCACCCGCCGCTCTGGAAGAAGAGGCTTGTTTAGCGATTCGGCTTGAAGGGTTGGCAGATCACAACTTCATAGCCTGCTATAATTCATCTTGTGAATAGACCAGCAGACGTGATTTTATTGACATGTGATAAAACCGAATTTACGTTGATTTCTCCCTGTGGGACGGAATATACTCATTCATTGTATATTTTATACATATGAGACACATTTCTGACGTTTTAATTTAACTATTTTGTAAAATTTCATCCAAAACCAACCGCGTTGGCGTTGGATGTTGATCATACTAACTCATTAAAGGATGTTGAAGAATATCGCAAAAAAATTTATTTCACTCTTCTTAGAGATTTTTTAATTTTGGCACTAGAAGATTAGTCTTCAAAATCGTTTTACAGATTTTCAATTGGGTTTAGGTCAGATGATTGACTTGCCAATTTGATTTAGTTAAATTATACATTTTATTGAATTTTGGAAAAGAGTTAGATGTTACTTTGAAAAAATAATGGTCAAAAAACGTGTAATAAATTTTACATAAAGAATAAAAATATTTAAAGACATCCGTTTTAGGAAATAACACAACGTTTTCTGTCATTATTTCGATATGCTTGTTCCAATTCTTTAAACTTTTTTTCGTCTTCTTCCACTTTTTTTTTGAGATCTTCAATTTCTTTACGTAATTTTTCATAAATTCCATTTTGTTTTGGAAAATAAATTTCTTTACAATCACTTAGATGATCTAATATTTTTTCTCGCGAATTTGCTCTAGAAATTTCGGCTATCTCTTTATAATAACCAACTAATTGTGGATTATCTACATGAATAACCTTTTTACATTTTTGAATTATTTCTGAAAGATTGTCATTCTCTTTAATCATATTCTCATAATCTTCTTCACACTTATCGCTATTCTTAAATTCAGGAAAATAGGTTCTTACAATTGTGATTAATTCAACAACATCTTTATCAAAAAGTTCTCTCAATGAATCATAAGCGTGGACCTCTGCTTCTGTGAAGCGTCCATTTATAACAAATAGGATTTGATGTAATCCATCTTTAATAGAATCAGTGGCATCTGCTACTTGCTTTTCTGTCAATTTTGTCTCTCCAATTCCTACTGTGTCAATTATTCTATATAAATTATCGTCAATTAGATAACTATTAGTTTGATAATTTTTAGTTTCACTAGTACAACCTGAACCTTCACTAAAATAATCAGTACCAACTATCGCATTGGCCAAAGCAGACTTTCCACTACCAGCCCTACCAACTAACATTATTGTTCGTGCTGAATAAGCTCTATTATTTTTTATTGGGTGCTCTTGAGTTGTGTTAAAAGGCGCAGAATCATTTTTTTGTTGTTGCGAGTTTGTCATTTCCCAAAGTAATTATTATTAATAATTATTATTTATATATTTATTCCAAAATCTATTTCGAAAAAGAAAGAAATTTGAATCATATTATTATTATTATATATTGAATTAAGGGTGGGTCATTGATTCTAAATTGGGTTTAGAATGGTTGTCCGATTGTATCATAATTACCCAACAACAAAAATTATTTGTCGCCTGTTTTTTTTAGTTCATCTTACAAATTTTTTGTTAAATGATCTAATATTCTTGCCCTAAAAACTCTTTATTATTATAATGAACAATTAATGGTATATCGTCCATATAAATATTCATTTTGCACGTTTGGATTGAGAAAGACATAATTTTCTTTAATTATTCTTATAACAAAAGTAAATTTAATAACACCTTTGTCAAAATTTTTGATTTCTTCTCCGAACGAATCAACGAATCAAATCACCTGATTTTTGATTCGTTTCATTTGAATTGGACACGAGTCTGATAAATACTATCTAATACATACATATTAAAGTTTTTAAACACTTTATAACAAAAAACTGTAAAAGAAACAATAAATTAAAGTTCAATTCGATATCGTGTGTCCACCGTCATTTACTTGAAATGCATGCTTCTAATTCTCTTCAGCATAAATTAAGATATCTTTATTCGGGAATTTTCGACCGTTCCTCTTTCAAAACAGGCTCCGAATCCGTTGCATGTAAATTCTTTTTTTTTCAATCGTCTTTCAAATTCGTTCCTCAGTTATATTAAAGTCTGGCACCCAAATTATTTGCTCCAACTCTTCGTTTTTATCAAATTTAACAATTTATTTATTTTTATGAGTATACAAAGCTATAAAAGAATTGATTTTTTAAATCGAAAATTTTACATGCTATAACTTAAGCTACATAAAAAAACGAGGTTCGCAATATTACACACTTTAATTTCTTTTTGTAATGCATTTAGTCGATAAGTCATCAAATATTTCTTTTAGTTTACTGATATTATTTGCTGCTGCCTTTTCTACCTTCTCCAATTGTTTGTTCAGCTGGTTTTTCATTTCAGTTTCCTTTTGCAATTTTCTTTTTAGATCATCAATTTCTTTTTCTTTTTGGGCCATGTAATTTTTTAAATTTTTTAAATTTCTTGGCAAGTAAATTTCATTACAATCTTTTAGATGATTTAATATTCTTGCTCGCGAATCTGCTCTAAAAGCTTTGCCCGCTTCTTTAAAACGACCAGTTAATGGTAGATTATCTACATAAATAACCTTTTTACATGTTTGGACTATTTCAGAAAGACTATCATTTTCTTCAATCATGTTCTTAATATCCTTCATACACATATCATAATCATTAAAATCAGGAAAATTTGTTCTTACAATAGAAGTGAATTTAACAACATCTTTATCGAAAACAACTTCTCTCAATAAATCATAGGCTTGAATTTCAATTTCTGTAAAGTGCCCATTGACAACAAATAAAATTTGATGAAATCCAAATTGAATACGATCAGCTGCCTCTGCTAATTTATTTAAAACTTGCTGGTCTGTCAATCCTGTAGCCCTGATTCCTACTGTATCTACTATTCTATAAGATTTTCCATCGATTAAATAATCTTTAATTTCATATTCTTTAGTTTTGCTAATAGAGCCTGAACTTTCTTTAAAATCATCGGTACCAGTTATCACATTTGCCAAAGTAGACTTTCCACTACCAGTTCTTCCAATTAATAAGATTGTTCTTAAAGCATAAGTTTCATTGTTTTCCGCTCGTTGTGGTTGACGACTTATCATTTTCAAAAGAAATTGTCTTATATAGTAATGTCAGTCATCTGAATTAGAAATGATATTAATATTTCGGGTTCAGGAAATAAAATTTATTAAATAGGGAAGCTTCAAAAATACTGCATAACATTAGTTGGTTCAGATACTCAAGATATACTATTAATAAAAAAATTTTTCTTTGTTTCAATTTTTTAGTCATTTATTTCTTATCAAAAAGATCACTGGTTTTCAAAATCGAAATCAAAATCGAAATCAGTGTATAAAATTCAGTGTGGGAAATATGAAGTGTAATAGTAACATCATACTATTAGTAGTTTTCTGCAGATAGTTTCTAAATTGGTAGAAATCTGCATTAGTTACACACCGAAATTTATACACTGAAATAGAAAATCGAAAAAATTAAACGATGAACAACTAATACCTAGGGGTAAGTAAATAAGTGGGGGGGACAACTCGATGTTACACATATAGATTTTGTGAATCCAAAACTGTCACGCACTATGAAATTACTAGTATTTATTAGTAGAAATAAATAAAACGCAAAACACGTACATATTGTAAAATAAAATTTTATATATCACCACACGTTAAAATTTTTTTCCTTGTAAGAACAAATCTTCAGCTTCCTTTTAATATAACTTTTAGTAAAGAAACTCTTCTATAGCTTTTTTAAAAAAGGATCGGTTATAAAAAATAAATTTTCTTTTGTATTTTGAATGTTACACATATTACTTGCAAGTTTAAAATATATATACATACAATTTTAAATATTATAAAACTTCTTGTTCTTAATCTTGTAAGAACTTGGTTTTCTTTATTAACATTAAATAGTATAAAATAAAAATTTTTTTTTTACATTTCTCCACGAAAAGGCATAAAGATTTTTAAAAAACACTTTTAACTAAGTATATAGAATAACTTATTGATTTAACAAGGTACCTTGATGTGTGACTTGTTTGAACAACCTAGTATTGCGCCTTGAAGTTGGTAGAGTTCATAAACTTTACTTCTGTCTCCGATTCATTTTTTCATAATTTCTCTCTATGACAAATATCTTAGTAAAACTCTCTATGACGAACATCTTAGTAAACACTCTCTATGACGAACATCTTAGTAAACACTCTCTATCCATAACAAACAAATTACATACAGAGATGGAGGGTTGGTTGTATGGAGAGTGAACTATATATATACTACTAATATAAAAAATTTTTTTGTCAAAAGATTGTTGAATTTATTTATTTTAAAATATATATCCTCTCCATGTATAAAATTAATTTTACATTACGACCAACCTTTAATGTTAAAGTATGCACATGAAGTGTATGTTTGTAGTAGTAAGCCACCTATTATTTATTGTCCGGTAAGATACTTTATATATAATTTCTATTTATTTTATTTTTTTTTTTTGAGGATTCTGCCATCTTTAACATAAAAAAAAATTTTAATTTTTAATAACGTATGTATAAATTACTTATATTATTTATATTACTTATATTACTGCTTTACCTGTTCATTATTCACTCACTACTTATGATTATTATAATGGTTTTAATTTCATTATCACTTGTAGAATTTTAACTACAAGAAGTAAAATGTCATTTAATATTAATATATCTTTTATTTATTTAATATAGTGTCTAAAAGTCATTTTTGCTACAAATTTGACAAAACTCAGAAAAACATAAAGGTATTTGCCTTGTGAACTCAACTTTGGTGGATCGGCTGCTTCAAAACACTTGTGTATAAAGTTTTATATGTAAAGTTTGATTTTTTACTATGAAATGCGCATCATTTTTAATTTTTAAGGCGTGACAGTTTTGGATTCACAAGATCTATATGTGTAACATCGAGTTGTCCCCCCCATTTATTTACTTACCCCTAGATAATACTTAACGTTTCAAAAAATAATCAGAATAAAAATTGATTCACTGTACTAATCACGTCTCCTCACATGTCCTGACCGCGCGGTCAGGGATTGATATCATATATTTTTTATTCGTTGTTACTATTAGCACAACATGAGTTAATATAATATTTTTTGATTCAAATTTGATAATCTATCCGCATAATCAATCAGATAATCATTTATATCGTACTACATTTTAATGGGGCTGAGTAAAGATAAAATTTCGATATGTGTAACCCCTGATCATAATAATGACGCATGCATGTTTATTTGTGCGATTAACCAAATTCGATTAATTACCTCATGTACATACTTTTTCTTTGTAATGGGTTTTTTTGGCGTAAAAAAAACATTCTTTATTCTCTGCATTATACTCATTCTATAGAAAGAGATGAACGAAAACGTTTAAAAGGGCAGTATATCGAAGTTATGGATATTCATTGCTTTTATAGTGATTTTTTATATACGTATTTTTGCTACAAATTACTAAATATGTCTACCTTTGTTTCATCAAACGAATTTGTTGTTCTTCGAGAATTCTTAAAAAATGAACCATTCGAACGAATTACCATCTCTAGAGCTTTACATAAGTTGTGGAGCGATTCCGGTATACAAACGGAAGAAATAGACTGTGAGTGTCTCACGAAGAATTTAGGAGATGTTGCAATGAAAAGTAATGATGAAAAACGTAAACAACATCTCGAATCGTTGAAAGACGGAAATAAGGTATTATATAATTTGAATATGCGCTTTATTATTATATACAGATATGATGATTACTTTTGAATAATAGCGGTATTGGGACGATAGTATGATGATTATTTTTTGAATGGAAATGTGATGATTATTTTTGAATGGTATATAGTAGTATCAGAGAAAATGTAGTGCAATGGCGTTGAGTAAGCGGTTTTCCGCATTCGAAGCGACGAGACACCAGCGATAATCTGCCCCATTGCACTATCAATGAAGATACCAGCTGGCAATAAAATCTGATCTGCCCGGGCTCATATAATAATTTTATTGTTTTAGTTATATTACGGGTAGCTAACTACATTCTAACCCTATAGATACGATTCATATGGAAGGAGCTTAAAGCATTGATGTTGGATGCTGATCTTTTGGGGTATGTCAATTCCAACTAGAATGATTGAAGAGTAAATTTATAACTAATGTAAAGATTTTTGTAGATCAAAGCCTGATCAATCTGACTGGAAGTCTCGAGCTGTACGTAATATAAACAGTTTGAAAGATGCTATACGAAAACAGAAAAATGTATCTCTAGTACATGCAGATCTTTTTAGAAAAATAGGCGAGGTGAATATTGATAATTTGTCGCAGGATGATCCGTTAGTTAATTCCGTAATTGATCTGGGATCTAATTGGTTTCAATTGTCAGAGGAGGATCAAGGTGTTCTTGTTGGAGAAAAAGTCGCTATAAAAAGGTTGAGTAAGGATGATTTGATAAAGAGAGTGTGCTCTAAATTCATCGCAAATAGAGATAAAATCCGTCATCCATATAAGTTCGTAGTGATGACATCTGAAGTGTTAACCCATGATCATTGGGTTGAGCAAGAAGATGATAGGAAGCAAGTAGCAAGTGATATTACAGATGTCCTCTTGCAAAAGTTAAAATCGAATGTGCTCCACAGAGTTACATATGGATCGGAGAGCGCTTTTGTGGAAATTATGGCTCAATTAATCGAAGCATCCTTGTACAAATTGCCGATTGAATATGATGTAGAGGTGACTAGAAGCGAACGGCAGAGCATGGCCAGTAAAAATCATAAAGTCCAGGAAAATATAGGTAAGAGGGGCGACAAGCCGGATCTAATGATACGAGCGTTTTTTAGGCAGAAGCAGAATGAGATCGTGTATGTTGAGAGCGGGAAATGGGAATGCGATGATAAAAAAATACACGATGATCATAACAAGCTGGTAAAGCTTTGTTCATGCGGATATGACGAGATCGTAAAAAAAACCCCAAGGGAACAATTACATAAGTTCTATATTGCATTTGGTATAAATATTGCGGGTGAGTTATGACATTTATAAAAGCTTCTTTTTGAGGTCTTGGAACCGATAGTGAAATATAAATCAGAATACTTACATCATTTAATAAATATAGGTGATCGTTTGATACTTCATGGATTAGTGCATGAGACGGGTGTAAAATATTATCTCCCTATTACTGAAGCGAAAATTCCCTTCCGCGATGAATCGGTTGAAGAGATAGAAGAATTTGTTCATATATTAATGACCTTGCGAGTATGTCTTTTATGTGATTTAACATTTGTTATGCTTAGTCTAAAAAAAATCTTTATAATTTATACTTAGAATGGAATAATCGTAAATCTTCACAATTTTG